AAGCATATTCATCTAGATGGTAATATAAAAGTAAAGGAGAAGAAGGAAAAGGAAACAGAAGAAAGAAACAGAAAGAAAAGACTTATGTCTTAGAATTAGGCTTGAATTGGATCACCCTTGAGGATCCACTTATGTATACCTACAAAACTAATAAGGGATTTATACCCTGACTGGGAAAACATAGAACAATGAAAAAATGGAAGGGTCGAGTGTGTCATGATCTACATGAAAATCCTCCACCTGTGGGGCACCGTGTGGTTCAGTCAGTTGAGTAGCGGCTTTTGGTTTCAGCTCAGGTCATGATCATGGGGTTCTGGGATCAAGCCCAATGTCAGCAGGAACTCTGCCTCAAAGTTTCTCTCTCCCCCTCTCCCTCTGCCCCCTCCTGCTCCTTATACTCTAAAAATAAATAATAAATAAATAAATAAATAAAAATAAATAAATAAATAAATCTTTAAAAAAAATGTTCCACCACTTGATAGCAATTTTATTAACCTAATTCCTTAGTATTGCTTCTAAGACCTAATATTTATATGGAGATTTTGTAAATCATGAATTTTACGACTTTACCCAGGTTGATTTCTGGGATATTTAAAATGATTTGATAGTTATCTAGTTGTATTCTATGGACAGATGAGGCTGAGGTCCTCCTACTGTGCCAGCATCTTAGCTCCCCCTGGAAAAATATTCAGATTTAAATGAAGAACATTGGATTCAAAAGTGATCTGGATGGAAAATTCAAGTTTATAAGGAAAAAAAATGTTTCCGGTGATGCTATCCGTACCTCAATCACAATGTCCTCCCTTTCATCTCTGTGAGCCTGCAATTTAATATAATACCTACTAAGTACAAGGCATTCAACACAAAGGAATTTGTTGTGATCACTCTCCTCAAACGGGAGATAAATGTCTCTATTTCCAAACTACTGGCAAAGGCTCTGAGAAAAAGATCTTTGATTATTCTCTGAGGGAGCCAAATAAAGCAACTCAGTATGAAAAACAAGTGTTAGGTTTAGTATGCCTCTGGTTTCAGAGCTTAAGAAACTTGAACTTGGAAATCAGATGTAACTGTGTTTAATGCCAGCCAGCCCTTTCACTTTCACGCACTAGCTGTGTAACCTTGGGCAAGTTACTCACCTTCTCTGAACCTTTGTTTCTCCCGTAAAACAGAATTAAAAATCTATAGCCACAGAGGCTCATTAGCATTAAGTGAGGTGATGCATATGAAGGTTCTAGCGTAGCCCCTGACAGAGTCAACCATCAGGAAATGTTACGAGATAATGAGAATAACTTTGCAATGGTATGCCATAATGTCAGCAGCTTTTCCTGTCGAAGTGAAGCATTTTCTATGTGAGCAGAATGTTTCCCCAGGAAGATAAGATGTTATTATTTAACCTGCAGCTTTTGTCAGTTTGGCAAAGGTTAAACTTACAAAAAAAACACAGAAATTTCTAATTCATTATAAGTCAGCCTATCATGTCTTCAAGGCCATTCTGTTATGAATTTAAACTACTATTGCAGAGTTAAATGAAATTTCACTTCTGGTTTTTTTCCAGTCCCCCAGATAGATTCATTATACAGTTTAACATCGGGGAAGAGTTTGGATAAACCACTTTTAAGGTTTTTATCCAGATTTTTAAATCTGAGATTGATTGAACCTGAATAGCTACTGACTTCACTCCACTTGATCTCTCACTTTTCATGATCATCACATTAACTTTATCCATAGAAATACATACAGCAGTAGACTACTATGATTTAGCATTCCTAGAAAACATTTATTCCATTCCCCAGCTAGGGGAAAAAATTTCTTTGCAAATTCAGCATATATGTGTGTATGTGTCTCTGTTTAAGAAACTAGTATCAATATAAGATCATATAGCATTAACCTCTTAATCTTCCTGTCATTTGTTTACACACCATTTGGTTAGATCCAGAAAACTGATGCTTTATTTAAATCTACTTTAGCAGTGGAAGTAAAAGGAAATCACATCCTCAAACTTGAGGAAAAGTGTTATGTAGATTGTGAAAAATCCCTCAACGATTCCATTTTGTACACAGTTTCCTGTCCAGTGTTTAATCCTATTTTCAAAGGTAATTGTCCAGGTTAAAAATATATAATTTAAGGGAAATGGAAAGCCACTTGGTCTGTTGTCTCCCAATGCATTAAAAATATCCCCTTTGTAATCCTGGAGAAGTATGCAAATTATAAGCCTGGGAAGAACCACTATTGAAAAATACTGTACTGTATCTTCATGTGATGTTTAAGACTAACTACTACCCACATTTCTTTCAGAATCATTTCAGAGGATCAGCTAAAAATGCTGTTAACCGTAAGAGACTCTATCTGCCAAAGTGTATTAAAGTGACATACCATTAATGCTAGTTCAACCTAAAAAACAATCATCCTGTAATGAAATGCTTTATATAAACTCAGGAAAGCTAGGAGACTCACAGTTCTCTATGAAATTAGCCGGTATTTGAGACCAATGGTGGAATGATATGGAAATGGTAATTTGACTCCCTGTAATGGCTTAGTAATGGCCCCTTACCTCTTAGTCCTAGATGTGTTTGCTTTTGTGAATATGTCTAAAAGACCTAGAAATAAATGACTTTTCTCCAAAATGAAGGAAGGATTTTGAAGAAGCAGTTGTACTTAAAAAGTTGGGAAATATATTTTCCTTGCTCACTCCCCAACATTTCTCCCTAACACATAAAAACGTAGACATGAACATGCCTTACACACAAATGCACATGTGCATGTATGCGCATGCACACTTCGTATGAAGTCACATCTATTAAAAAAATTTTTTAAGATTTTATTTATTTATTCATGAGAGACAGAGAGAGAGAGAGAGAGAGAGAGAGAGAGGCAGAGACACAGGCAGAGGGAGAAGCAAGCTCCATGCAGGGAGCCCGACGTGGGACTCGATCCCAGGTCTCCAGGATCACACCCTGGGGCTGAAGGCGGCGCTAAACCGCTGAGCCACCCGGGCTGCCCTAAAAAAAATTTTTTTAAGTGAATTTGCCTATTTCAAAATGAGAGCATCAAACACTGAACCCAGTTCACTAACATATTTGAGGTGGTCATAACCTCCTTCCATGGGTGTCTTTAGTTCAGAGGAAAAGACTAGATGATATTGACATAACTACAAATGAGGAGCAGAATGAGACAAAAGTGTCTGCAGTACTTGCTTCTGAAACTCGATAATAAAGCACCATCAGATTTTACAAAGGTCAAATTGGGAGTAAACAGAAGCTAGCACACTCTCCTGGCGATTTACAATTTGACCAAATTCACAGCCTTTATCTGGTCAAATTATGAGAGCCCTGTTTAGAGGCATCAATCATCACGGAGGTCCTAAATGTGAAGGAAGTGATGAAGAGTATTTTCGCTTTACCACACGTGAAATTCAGAAATAAAAAGGAATCTTCTGGAGCGGAGACTTCATGATCCAAGAATCTTAATGTCTCTTGGTTTTCAAATCAGAGATGGCTCTACAATAGACAGGATCATCGTCCAGAAAACACCATGTGCTTTAACACCTGGACTTGCTTGCCCACTCCCAGCTTGTCTTTATCTTTCCTCTTTCCTACCTTAAAATTTTCTTCATTAGATAGGCACCTGGTCTCTATAAGTTTGCTATTAAATATGCTGCCTGGAAGAATTTTTTGACCTTTGCTCTAAGTGGAGATTTGCCTGTCTGGTTATCTAGCTAATACTTGTGTCTGCGATACAATAAAACATAGTTAAATTTCAAGGAAGAAAGAGAAAATATACGTGAAATTTTTATCATTTGACTTTCACCATTAGCATTTGACTTTCTTACAGCTGTGTTCAAATATCCCTATTATCTGGCTTTAATTTATATTTCTAAACTATTTTCTACTGTTCCCTTTCATGTTCCATTTATTGGCCTCTTGACTCTTCCCTGTATGAGTCTCACACTTTTCCACACCTGTGACTTTGTTCATTCTTTTTCTGAAGCCCTCACAAATGTCACATCCTTGATAATTTGTCCATTGGTAGAGGGGATCACTTGAGACAGCTGTACACAGTAAAGACTTTAGCTCCAAAGAGCAGTTTTGAGCTTGTGAGTGGTTCTCGAATTATAATGTGCATAAAAATCACCTGGAGTGCTTGCCAATGATGGAGATTTTGTGGCTCAACCTCAAAGATTCTGATTCAGTAGTTCTGTGAAGACCCAGAGTATGCGCTGTTAATCTCCAGGTGACTCCAATGCAGGTGATTCCAGGGGCTCTATAAGACACACTGTTCTAAGAACATCTCTATGTTTTAAAAATTCCTGACTAAAGGCTTTCCAGAAGATATTTTTTTCCAAAGCACAAATGTCATTTAAATTATTATTAATTCCCAGAAATTCCATTCTAGAAACACTAGAATACAGGCATTTGTATCCTATGCCTGCCTAACTGGATTGAAAATATTTAGATGCAACACAGCTAAATATGGGTTAATGAAATTGCTATTAATCACTTTTTGAGAAAATGTAGGCATCCCGGGAACATGCTGTAATTTTCATCACTTTTATACTGCCTCTGCCAGCTCTGTAGTTAAAGAGTAACAAAACAACTGTTTATGAAAAGGGTAGGTTTAAGATGAAAATAATCATTTTGCAAAAGTGAGGAAACAGTATCAGAGCCTGCGAACTGTGCTCTTCCAAGTGGAGAATCCTGTATTTGTAATAAATTCCTTTTGCTCTGGATGAGTTCTGCATTTTCAATGAGGTGAACTTGGCAACATTCTAGTTGATTTTAATAAAAATAGCTGCTTTGAGGACAGGGAGCTGAGGTTGCCAAATTTACAGCTGCCTTGCACAATTACTCTTACACCTCCTTCAGGGCTACTTAGAACCAGTAAGCAAATTAAGTGTATCGATTGCAATTTTGTTGGACTAACAGCCCCCCCCCCTTTTTTTAAGGAATAAACTTGATTCCTTTCAGTATGTGTCTGTTCAGAGTGATCTCTTTTCTTTTCAGCCATAACACAAAGACAACATCATGGCTGGATCCTCGACTTGCGAAAAAGGCTAAACCTCCAGAAGAGTGCAAAGAGAATGGTAGGTCATTAAGTTTCTATGATGTTTCTGCGTTGCGCTTTGAGCATGTTTGTGTTTCTTAAAGGAGGGTCTCACCGACAGGAGCAATCATGTAGTTGAGACAATTTTAAAGATGTAATATTTAATGCTTAGAGAGGAGAGAGAATTAACGCGGCTTTTCAGCAGTGCCATGTGGTTTTCCTTTCTCTTTCTGAGGAAACTGTGCCGGATATCACATCTCTGTCATCTCTGTTGGTTCTATGTGACTCCTGGCCTGACTTTCCACCACCTTCTAAGGACTTATTGTTTGCAATATGTCTCTCTGAGGACTCTTATCTTTTCATTGGCATCAAACATGATATATAGAGAAACACTCTTGTGGACCTATAAATATTATTGATTTTTGTGTTTAGAGGCATAGCATAGTGCTAGTTATTAAAGAATCAGTGGTATACAGATCTATACATATGGCTACTTTCCTTTAATCAAATATTTGAATTAAATAACCAGTTGCATGAATGTCCTGGGATATCCTTAGTATTTTCTAGTTTCTAGTGTAGTAATACTAACTTGCTTAGAAACTGTTTTCATATATGTGAAGAATGTTTTTGAACAATGTTGGGGGTTAGATGGGTGTAAACCTTGCACTGATATTAGTAAATTAGACAAAGTCTGTTACAGATGACACTTGTAATTTTTAAAGATGTTGAGTTTAATGTTAAAGAACACTTAAAGTTTAGCTAAAATGATAAATAGCATACTCTCCTTTGATTTATTATTTGACTACAATCAAGCCTTTATCTCCTCAACCTATTAGAGCCCTGTTCACAGGCATCTATCATTGAGAGGCTCTTAAAAGTGGAGAAAGTGATGAGAGTTTAAACTTCTAAAAAAGTTTTTGAAAAGTCAACTTTTTTGTAAGTCTCTAATTCTAAAAGTCCTTTGTAACAATAGTTCTGGCTTTATCAGATAATATTTTGATAACATTGTTCATTTCTGTAACTGTTCACAAGCTAGTTATACAGAGTTCAATTAAGAATTACAGTGTACAATTTATATGTCCATATTTGAATGCATAAATATCCAGTTTTTAACCACTGTCTATATTATAGACTATTTATATTCATAGCTATAACTGTATGCTTTCTGTAGAATAGTATGACTGCTTGTGGTTGAAACCCATAAAATTATGTGACCTGGACTTTTGATCACCATTAGGTTATATATTTCCTTGACACCAATAAGACGTGTGCTGCAGATTGTGATCAGTTATAAATTAAAATGGCCAGATCTGTTATATATGGAGGTTACAATTCACTTTTGCCACAGATGTAAAAACCTTAGTATATCCTAATTAAAATGATTTTAATGATTTGCAGTGCTGTGACACATTGAACTTCTCAGCTGTCTTGTTCCTTTGAGTTATTCTTTTTATTAGAAAAAGCTGTTAAAATCAAACTTTAAAATTCTGGGAGAGATGTAGGCATAAGACGTTGCATAATTTTAATATTCCAGTGTTATCAGTTTTTCCCACATCCGCACTTGTCTGTCTTCTCAGGATGATAAATACCTAAAATATGATGCCAGTGTCTGAGGAGCACATGTCATTGAAAAACAAGCCCTGCAATATAGTCTTGTAGTTTAGAATGATTTATAACCAGTCAATTACTATTTGTTTTCATTTTCTACAAAATAAATAACTCCTAGATTTATCCAGTATATTACTGGAATGTTTTAAAATGGAAATTAACATCTAGTTAGTTAGAATACTATTATTCCAGACACATATTTTAAGTTTTCTTGCCAAGGAAATTGCTTTTATGTAATACTGTTACTTCTGTTTTATTTTTCGTTTAAGACATAGGTTAAAATTGTGTGTTTAAATGTTGGATGTTAATGGACTGCTGTTGAGCTAGCCAATTAAGTGAGGTTTCTTTATATGTTCCACTCAGACCAAACAAAGTAGAGTAATTTTCTGAATGCTGGGATGTGTGTAAAATGTGTATAAAAAATTATGGAGGCTCAAGATGATAATATCTTTCTCCAGCAAAGGTTTATCCTTTTTATGCCAGTGAGATAGAGTGGAGGCTAATTACTTAGTCCAATCTGGAGTTGAGCCAATAGGAGGTTGGGCTGAGTTTTGGTAAGACCCGATTTATCTCTGGTTTGTTCCTGTGCTTAGGATGTTTGCCCAAGGTTTTCAACTAACAGCCTATTTGCAGGTCAGCAAGCATTTTCTATAAAGGGTAGGTAGCCTATATTTTAGGCTTTGCAGGTTATCCAGTCTCTTTGTAACTACTCATTATGCAAAAGCAGACAAATCAATATATAATTAAAGGACATGGATGTATTTTGATGGAGCTTTGTTTATGAACAGAGAATTTGAGTTTCGTATACTTTCAGGATTTGAATTTCAAAATACTGTTCTTTTGATTTTTTTTTTTTGGCAACCATTTAAAAGTATATAAATTGGTCTTCATTTCTGGACCATACAGAAAATAGAGGCAGGCTGGATTTGGTCCACAGGACAAATCCTGGCCCCGTGTGTTCATGTGGGGCCTTCCTCTTGGCAGATCTTAAATGCCAATATTTTAAAAATATTTTTTCTTCCTAGTATTGCAAGACTGCCAAAAACCTGTGGTGCATTTCAGGGGTTTTAGCTTAGCTGTTTGCCTCCAGACCTTGCAGCTTCTGAATTGACAGATGTCATCATGGGATAATGGGTTGTCTGTTTAAGATCTCTCAAGTCTATATTTTGTCACTCCAGTCTCTTAAGACTCCTCAGCTTTCGGCTGGCTTCCCTAACCTCTAGCAGTGGCCTTCTACCTAGGCAGTCTGGGTTCTTACCACAGCCCAGAATCAACAAAATCAGCTGCAAATTCTTCCCTCACTTCTCCAGGTTCTTCTCCTCTTTGGAATCCTAGGCCTGTTGTTTCAGCAGTGCTAATGGCTTTAAATTGTTTATTTTTTACATTTTGTGTAGATTTTCTTTGTGTTCTCATGGTTTATAAGCTTCTCACTCCATCCTACCTGGAAGCAAAAGTTTTATGCAGTATTTTTAAAATTGAACATTTTAGAGCTTATTGGATTGCATAACTATAAATTCTTTATTATCGTAATTAAAATTTTTATCTCTCAAAATGGAATTCCATGATGTTGTATATATGTGCATACTGTCATGAATGTGCATATGTATTGTGTGTGCCTGTGTGGATATGGATCTGTAAATGTTGACATTTTTAGTTCTGTTAACACTGGTACATAAAGTTAATTCCTTGGTCAACTATAAAAGAAGAAGCTGAGTGAAAGAGTGATAGAAGGGAGGTTATCAACTGATTTAAATTATTCTTGGGTTAGAGAAAAAAACTAGCAAATATTCTCTTATTGTTATCAAGGGGGACATGAGAACATAGATGGCTCCATACAAATACATATTAAACAACCATCTATTGACACCAAAGCAACCATTTTATCTTGAAGCATAATGTACTAAACGTGAACGCATACTTCCTTCTCTCACAATACAGTCGAAAGTACTAAAGTCACTACATTCTGTGCATTTGTCATCGCTCTGAATTTTTAGAGTTTTAGCACCAGTCTACATAGCAGAAAAAAAAAATCTCCACCTACTACTGGATTCTAATATTAGTATTTGGGGGAGTGCCATTTAGCAAGCCAATATAGTCTTTTACAAAACGCCACAGAAATACTGGTTAACTATTAAACAATTTGGAGACAAGATCAGTGGACTGCATATAAAAAACATCAACATATTGTCCTCAGCCCCCACAATCAGTACCATGGGGTTCCTCCTGAGACATTGCCGATCACATATATCTCAGTGGTGACACATCCCCCAAGATTCACTGAGCTATAGGGTTAACGTCAAACATGATTCAAGCCTTGGGGTGCCTGGGTGGCTCGGTCATTTGAGTGTGCAACTCTTGGTTTCGGCTCAGGTCATGATCTCATGAGTCATGAGATGAAGCCCCATGTCCCCATGTCAGGTTCTGCACTCAGGGGGGTAGTCTGCTTGAGATTCCCACCCTCTGCCCCTCCCTCCACTCTCTTTTTCATAAATAAATAAGTCTTTTTGAAGACGCCTCATAGGATCATTCTTTTCTTAAAGTTGAAATGTAATTAAATTATCACATTCAGGAGAAGAAATTGTGTGAAATTTGGACTCAAGGAAACTTCTAATCCAAACACAAATCTGTGGGCTCTTCTTCACTTCTGAGAACCTAAGGTTTCTTACCTGTAAAAATGGGAAGGATATCTGTTTCATGTAGATTCAGTTTCACAAATAAAAGGGACAGTGCTTGTGGCACTACAGGCTCTCAATAACTGTTCCTTTCTTTTCCTTTTCTGTGTGTTCTGAGCCAACAAATAAGCCTCATAGAAGACAAGGGGAAGAATTCAGAATAGTTGGCCTACCTAAAGAGCTTTGAATTATTCTAGAGTATCCTGGAGAGATGGAAATGAACAAACCCTTGCAGGCTAAAATTATCTGCCTAATTAATTCCAGCCTAATATTGATAGATTAAAGATTGTCCCCCTCCATTCTGTCACGATGGCTCTAAATTCTCACAAAATTGTAATCACAGCTGTACATACTAGGTGGCTTCATTTCCATAGTCGATGTGTATGAATTATAAGGGAGTTTTCTCATATTGCTGTAAAAAAAAATCACATAATCTTAACCTCTTTACCTATATGAGAACGCCATTTCCATTGACATTTAGTTAAACTAAAGTTTTGAGTTATTAGTTTATCTTTAAAAAAAATGGTGTCCAAAATAGACATAAATGAGGACAGCATAAGCTATGTTTGGAATATATATTAAGAGGATTTTTTTTTTAAGAGAAGGAGGTTGCCTATATATATATATATATATATATATATATATATATTGATATATATATATCAATATAGTGTACTGAGTTTTCCTTTTATTTTGCATTTATTTTTAAAATTTTTTCTTTGAATTCAATTTCCCAACATATAGTATAATACCCAGTGTT